ATTCATTTCTGTAAACATATATAATGAATTGCGTGCTGATTGTAATTCTTCCATTATTTTTTCTTCCATTCTGTAAATATTGGATACCCGAGTTAAAAGTTATGGCCTTCAGAAGTTTTATGATTAAATTATTATTATTTTAGAAAAAAAATTTGACACGTGTCAACCTTAGGTGAGAGACGCCTAAATGAGGCGTCAGGCGTCGCATTTTGCAATAGATCCGTAATTATTTCCAAAACTGCAATAAATGTGTAATTATTTAATTAAAATGCAATAATTAATTTTTTTTCCCCAATTTTTCCATTTCTTTAATAATTCATTCGTTATTAAAAATTCATTACTTCGTTAGTTATTAAAAATTCATTATTATATAAACTATTCTTCCAATGGATCTTGATCACGATCAGAATCATCCAGATAAACAAAATAATTTTAGTTCCACCAAAATTATATATGGGTGAGCACTAACTCACAAACACAAATGGACGAACAGAAACTTGAATCCAGAAAAATTTGGAGGAAGAAATTTGCAGATCTCAAACTTAAAGAGAGACAAAGAGAGGATGAGAGAGTAAAAATTAAGATTATAAGAAATAATTATGAACCGTTTGATTTAATTCTAATCTAACGATGATGATATTAGTTGTAAGAGTGATAAACTTACTTGGTAGTAAGTATAATCTTCCCCATATTTAATTTATAAGAAATTTCAGTTCAACCTAACCTAACGACATTGTAAGTGCCGATTCTCCTTTTTTTCTTGTTTTCTTTTTTTTTTGGTATCCATTCTTTTCTTTTTTACTTTTTCGTTATAATTGGAATTATGAAAAAATGATATTAAATTTAATTCAACTTAGAAATTAAATTAAATTAAATTATTAAAGTCTTTATTATTTGCTTAAAAATCTTTTTGATTTGATTTAAAAATTAAATTCATTCAAATCTTACTAAATTTGGGTATAGCTCTATATATACCCAATTAAAATCAAAATTTTGAAAATTATTATTTTGACAATTCTCTTGATTTTTAATTCGTTTGAGAATCAACTACCTTCCCATTTCAAAGTTTCTAGAAGAAACAAACATTAATTTCATTTTGTAGAACATTTTTTTATAAGGTGCTGATTTGGAGTATTATCCGAAAGAACTTAAGTTCTTAATGACAAATCCTTGTTGTTTAAGGTTAGTGTGAAAAAAATATAATTTGGACTCGTACAATGAGCCAAAATATCAAGTTCAAATTTTTGCACTAGCAAAACTACTATCACATTATTCCTTAAGTATGTGGTGGACCCAAATGTATGTTGTTTTTATTTAAAATGTTGTTCCATTATACTTATTCTTAGCATATGTTATAATTTTTTTTTAACTATTCAAAGAATTACAGGATAAAGCAATATTCGATAATGCTTGCGACACTGATATTGTATCAGGAGAACGGAAAGAACTGTGGTATCTTGAAATTATTATCAAATTTTATCAATTAATTAGTGTATGAGTTATCATTTTGTACAATTTTAAGTTCATTTCATACAATTTTTATTTCTTACCAGTATGTTGAGAGCCAAACCTGTGAGAGTACATATAATGCTGATGTTTTTCTGTCTTTGTTGACACTGTCTGTAAATTATAATGATGTCGTTGAAGACAAATTTAATTGTTCAATTGTTTGTCCCTTTAAAAGGATTAAACTGGAGAAAGAGTTAAGTACTTACCCATTAATTATTCAATTGTTCAGTACTTTCTTGAGTGAAATTTGACAATAATTTGTATAAACAATATGACTAATATATAATATAGTATATTGACACATGAACAATTTTTTTTAAATAGTTTTGATGCTTAAGGCAGAGACACCTAGCTAGAGAAAAAAATATGTAACTGGTGAAGTTGTGTAAGGACAGAGGTGCTGGAACAGAAGTTGTGTGGACCTTAATGCTTTTGGGTGTTGTTGAAGTATGATTTTAGCCTTATTTGACAGTTATTCATCAAATGTACAATGTCTTAAGATTTATTTGACGTTTGATTGAACAATTGTGGATGATTGTGTAACGTTTTGCAGGAGGTTACGATGCAGTGAGATAATTTACTATAAATCTCTATTATTTCTGTTTGTTTATATTCTTTATCTTCTCAAGGTGTTCTTTTGTAATAATTAACAAAAAATCTGAAAATATTAATTCATTTGTATATGCATTCAGACAAAAAAAAAGTAAGAAAAAAAACACATGCAAGTTCTACATCGGATAGAATATCGTTTGGATTTCCTACTGCAATTCTGAGTGTGTTAAAAATTTCAAAGGAAACAAGCAAGCAAAGTAAATGATTTATCCATTAATGGAATTACTGTGTTTTGGAATTTAAAAGTCATTATTGAATTATGCCAAAGTTGAATGCTTATTCCTAGAACCTTTGAATGTGTTTTTTCAAATCCTTCAAAACTCTTCCAATTTGCCCATCATAAAGGGACATTTGTCATTAACTATTGTACAAACTACCGAGTTAATGTTTTAATGCATTTAATGATTATTAATTAACGAAGTTCAATGAATCCAAACAATGTGGAGTGCAATTAGTAATCTAGAATTATTATATAATGAGCCAATTCAATAAAATTACTATTGGAATAGGTTCAAGCTTAAATCAATGGCTGATTCATCTTCTGAAAAGCGGGGAAAGATTGAGAATTAGGAACACGAGTCCCTCAAGACTAGGGGTGTTCGCGGTCTGGATTGGATCAGTTTTGGAAGCAAAAATCATCTGATCCAATCTCTTCGGTTTGATCATATAATCATCCATTCGGTTTTGATTTTTTTTCAAATCCGATCCGATCCAATCCAACTTTTTTCGGTTTGGATTGGATCGGTTTTCGATTTTTTGAAAATCTTAAAATTTATTTCATGATTATTATGCAAATAACATATTTTGCATATATTGAATTTGTAAAAAAAAAATTTGAAATATAAAAGCATTAGTAAACTATAATATTATTTTATTTTATTTTGCAATGAGATATGAAGCTCTACAAAGATAAAATTTTGTTGATGAGATGTGATTAGATTTTTTCTTGAGTTTAGTTGATGAGTTAACGGGTCTTGGGTTTAGAAATTTTTAGGCTATGATTAGAGAAAGACCCAAATAGGTAGAGGAAAATTAATATATTGGATCGGTTTGGATTGGATCGGTTTTCATCAACCCATCCAAAAATCGATCCAATCCAATTAAAATTTGCGATTTTTAATCGGTTTTCGATTTTTTGGTTTTTGGTTTATTCGGTTATCGGTTTTTCGGTTCGGTCACCGCGGTTTGGATCGGTTGATGAACACCCTTACTCAAGACTCCTTTGTACGACTGTTGGAAGTTTCTATCCGACGATGTTTTTTATCGGCATAGGAAAATGATCGGACGTCAAGGTACATGTTATGAACATATTTTATGCATTCATTTCTATCTTTTGTTCATTGTAATTTATTTTATTTCGTTCAACAAGTGACTGTCAAATTCTAAATAAGAACAAACGCAAAAAAAAATTAAAAAAAAAAAGATATTGCTTTAATATTTTCCCCCTCATCTGACGTGTTTTGCTTTAATGTAATTTTTGTTTGATGTTTAATTTTCCTTTCCATGTTTGCTTTGTCTTTGTTATTTTTTTTGTTTTGCTTTGTCTTGGACGTTTGTTTAGATACCGTTCTTACATGAGAGTCTATAAAAACATCACAAATATGGTTTGTCTCTGTTCAGATGTGATTTTTTGCTTTGTCTTTGTTTAAACTTTTGAAAAACAAGGAACAATTTTTTGTTGTGTGAAAGAAGATGTCTTATTGTCAAACGTGAATAACTGATGATGTTTCGTCATGAAAGATCCGAATATATATTTTTTATTTAAGTATAATAGTCAATTTAATTTCATTCTTATCAAAAAAATATTTTAGTTTAATTTTAATATTTCCAATCAATTTTTCTTCATTTCATGGTTATTGTCTATAGTTATTGTAATGCCTCATGTTAAAGTTATAACAAACTATATATATATATATATATATATATATATATATATATATATATATATATATTAACGCTATTGTACGTATTAAGACCAAAATTATTTTCAATAATTGTTTTTAATTTAATCTTATATTTTATAGTAATTACATGATAATATTTTGGTGTTTTTTCTCTCTTTTTTCCTTTCCATATTTTCTTTGGCTTGGTTAATTTTGTTTTGCTTTGTCTTTGATGTGTGTTCAGATGAGGTTCTTACAAAAGAGTCTATAAAAAACACAACACTTGCTAAAATTGATAATGTACTGGAAAGCAACGGTAGCCTCTCTATTTACCCATCAATGGCTCGCATAATCAGTGAATCTTTGTTTGATATACAAAATAGATTAGTACTTGATGAATTATTGTATGACATATTTTCTTTGATAGAAGAGCATAAAAGATTAATAAATTCCCTCACTGATGAGGAGAGAGTAGTTTATGAGAAGATCATTTAAGCAGTTTCAGCAAGTGGAGGAGGACTCTTTTTTCTTTACGGCTTCGGTGGTATAGAAAAAATATTTATTTGGAATACTCTGTCAACATCTGTTAGATCAAAAGTGAAATCGTACTTAATATCTCTTTTAAGGGAATTGTTTCCTTTTCTGGAGGACGAACAGTACATTCTAGATTTCGTATTCCATTCAAATCACTGAAGATTCAACCTGTAATATCAACCAAAATTTTACTCTTGCTGAGTTACTGTCAAAAACAAAGTTAATCATTTGGAATGAAGCCCCAATGGCACACAGATTTTGCTTTGAGGCTCTAGACAAAACACTTATATTTTTTTATACCAGTTGTGTTGATAAACCATTTGGTGGAAAAGTCGTTCTAGGAGGTGACTTTCGACAAATAAACATGTTATTCCTCATGGCAGCAGACAAGAGATAGTTCATGCAACTATCAACTCTTCTTATCTTCCGTCTTATTGTCATCTATTAACTTTAACCAAGAACATGCGTCTTAATTCTGGAAGTAGCATTCACAATTTGATGGAAATAAAAGATTTTTCTAAATGGCTTCTTAAAATGGGGGATGGTGATCTTAGAGATGATGATGATGGAGAATCTATTATAACAAATCAAGATAGATTATTGATTAAAGAATCAGATGATCTACTCTTGGATATGGTTGATTTTGTGTTCCTGAATATCTTGGATCATATATCAGATCCTACGTTTTTCAAAGAACGTGTCATTTTAACTCCTAAATTGGCAAATGTTGTTGCTATGTTAAACGAGCACCTAATGACTTTAATTCTGGGTGAAGAAAATACATATTTGAGTTTGGATAATATTCTGAAGCAAGATGGTAATTCTACCCTTGAGGATGTCAAATTCTCACCTTAGATTTTAAATACCTTCTCGTGTTTGGGGATTCCTGATCATAAATTAACTTTGAAGGTTACTATGCCGGTTATGTTGTTAAGAAATATTGATGGGTCAAGAAATTTATGCAACGGAACAAGATTGCTTATTTCAAGATTGGGCAACCATGTTGTTGAGGAAACTATTCTCACAGGAAGCAGTATAGGAGAAACTATGTTAATTCATAGAATGACAATGAACCCATCAAGCCATACATTTCCTGTAAATTTCCAAAGAAGATAATTTCCCTTGGTCGTTTCATCTGCCATGACTATCAACAAGAGTCAAGGACAATCACTTTCATGTTGGAATTTATCTCCCTAGGCTTGTCTTCACTCTTGTGCAATTATATGTGACACTATCAGGAGTAAAGAGCAAACAGGAATTAAATATATTGATACTTGATGATAATGGTTGTGTTACAAATAGTACCTTTAATATCGTCTACAAGGAAGTATTTCAAAGATTAGTGTAGTTGAATTGGTTCTGTTTAGACACCTTCGTTCTACTGCAAGCAATAAATCTGACTCATAGATGCCTTTTTGATCCAGTTGTTTTCAAATCTTTTAACTCAAAAAAAATATAAGCAACCATAATAATTGTGAAACCAGAAAAAAAAATTTGGTTTTATAAAAAAACAAATTAATCCAAAAAAAATTTATCAGGCTATTTCTTGTGGGTGTTAAAATATCTATGTCATCTATTTAATGAGTATTTGCATTATGTAATGCAGGCATAAATGTGATGGCATAGGTGGATGTCCCTGGTCATGCAGAATCATGGTCAAGCACATTGTTATGGACCCATATAAGGGGCCTATTGAATAACAGACGCAACTAGGGGAAATCCAAGATTTAAATCGAATATAATTATGGAAAGATATCCTTCAAGATACTAGTCCTAATACGACAGCATGACAGACAGGTCTGGCCATCATCAGAGGTACTAAAGGTCCATATCATACTACCCACGGGTAACTCCTATAAATAAGAGGTAAACCCTAAAGATACGTTACGCTCTCTCTCGTACTGATATGTTGTCACTGTGCGCACACACACCCCCTTTTGGCAAAGCTATTGTTTGTTTACTGTGCACAGTGATCTGCTTGATTCAAGGGTATCTCCTTCATAGATATCTTAGAGAGGGCACTAGATCCAAGATTAACATACCAGTCCATTGGGCTGGACATCTCTGTCTCAAAGACATAACACACATGCTTCGTATGTTGAGCGCATTAACTGTTGAAAATTGTTCTGGATTTTGTTATATTTTTTCTTCTTTCTTTTTGGTAGGGCAATATGGCATCTGATCTGTTGTCGTTGCTGCATGTCATGCTGTATTTGTAGACTGAATTATTGAGTACATAATTATATTTGATTTGCATAATAATCGATGTCTCTGAATTGCAGTGGTTGATACTTACAAACAATGGCGAAGCCACTTGGTAGCTAGGCACCAGTTGATTTTTAAAAATGCTACATATTTTTTTAAAAAATTATGTCATAGCCTTACTATTGGTTAGGTTTTTAAAAATAATACAATATTGGCACTAGTTGAATTTTATTAGTTGGGTCTTTTGTCACTAGCTAGGTATTTTCCCTGGCGCACTGCTTATAAAGTTCTGTATGAGTGCTGTAGTTTTTTCAACTTCAAATCTAGCAAAGAATTGCAAGACAATCCTTTTCTTCTTCTTTTTTCATATTTTTTTCAAGTAAAAGGATTGCATTTTTCATTTTTGTTCCTTCACGTTTTTGCCTCTGCCATTCTACCGTTAAGGGCTTCTTAGCAAGATGAATTTCTTAATTTCTTTTATAGATTAACCAACCACGGCTAACAAAAGCTCCAAATTTTTTCTCCATGCACGGTAATACACAAGTTTTTCATATAATTTTCAAACCTCTTATTCTCAAATCGAATTTTAGAGATAAGGTTTAAATAAAAAATCACGTTATAAAATCCATAATAACGTCTCTTCAAGAATCACACTTACACTGTTTCTTTATTTTACAAGTAATTTTAGGGGCAAAACGTAAAATGAAAAATTATCGGAAATGAAAATTCCAAAAATTTAATCGCATTAAAATTAATTATAGAGACATGTTTGTATGCTTAATAAAGACACTACATTGGATATCTCATGACTCTTGTTTTTTTTTTTTTAAAAGTCCTCTAAATTACTGACAAAGGCATTCTCCAACAAAATATGATGTCAAGAGAATGGTAGGAAGTTACAGTTAGAAATCCAATGGATTTATGCAATTATATGTTTTTTTTTTTCCCCCTCAAAACAAACTATTTTTTATGGTTGACATCATCTACGGTTTCTTTTCATTGAAGAGCATCTTGATCTACTTGTAAGACAAATTCAAATTTAAGCTCTGATTAGAAAACGTACTTAAAATTGCACTAATGATTAATCTCTACATGACCTCCCTCAGAATATGTTCATGAAAGCAACTTGTCAAAAGGAAAATATTAAGGCAAGTACGAAAATTATTTATCCTACAAGTTTTAATACAAATTCTCCACATCTTCTATTACAGACAAATAAGATAGCTGCAGAGAAAAAGATTGATAGCTGCAGAAACAAAGCTAATCTACGAAGATAAAAAAGCATAACATTGTACCATGAGGAAGTTGCTTCAGAGATCTTAAAATTAACAATTAATGAAATGAAAGAACAGTGAGATTATTAACTCAAACCACGAACAGGCCCAACCTTAAAGTTCTCCGTGATCTGTTCTTTTAGAGAACATCATGAGGAAGAGAATCAGTGCAAAGGTAATTTGCATGGACTGAAGCCCATTAAGCCATTCATTGAAAACATCCAAGGAATGAAATTACTCCCAACTAACAAACATGTTAGAAGGAATGAAATTATCTGGAACAAGACTTGAACACAAGCATAAATTACCAGTTCAATTTTACTTGTGACTTGTGCAAAAACGAAGAAAAAATGAAAAGATTACTTGTTATATATGAAACGAGTGCGGGGTTTGTCATTAAAGCACAAATTGACCCTCATTGGTTGCAATGATGATCATGGAGGAAAACCAGAAAAACTATGGCAGCATAATATATGAAAATAAGAATGAGAATTGTGCTTAAATGGTATACCTTATATATTCAATTATTTACATTGTATAAAATTCTCATTACAGGAGGCAATTAATCCAGCACAACTAGTTTTTGATATTCTGGGCCAGAAATAGCAGCTTCCATTGCATCTTCGGGGCTTAAATCCCCATCATTGTCCAAGAACAATGTCAGTAGATTCTTAGAGAAACCACTTACTAGTGCCACTCCTTTCTGAGTGGCTGTCACTGGAGTGGCCCTTGAGTCTCTCAGATTCCAAAAAACTATCTGAGGCACAGCAGAACCATACCCTTTCTCATTATACTTCCTAGTGATTGCTTGGTAATCAGTCTCCCAGGGGTTGAGGGATGCTTGATCAAACTCCATGTCACTGAATACAAATACCCTCCTAATCATCTGATCCTCCTTCAAATTCCCACTAACAGCCACTTCCAATATGAGATCAAACACCATCTGGAAATCAGTGTTCATCCCCCAATCCATATTCCTCACAAACTCTGTCTTGGACTCCAGATCATCCCCTTCAATCAAATGAAGCTGAGGCCTCTCGCTGAAAGTAACAACCTTCCCCTTCCAAGGATCCTCACTCAACTCAGACACCAACAACCCCAATGCCACAGACACCTCCATGGGGACCCCACTCATACTTCCAGAAACATCACACACAGCCAAACAATTCTTCATTTTCCCTTTCTTGAGCAAGTCATCCACCATTCTCTTCCACTGAAGCTCAGCCACCTCTCCACCATCTCCATCTCTCAAGGACCCAATAATCTGATGGGGAAGCAAAGCACCAGCTGCAATAGTAGCCTTCCCTGACTTCACATCCTGCAGGTACTTTTCAAACCGCTCCTTATCATGCTTCAGAAACTTCTCCTTGTAAAACTTCATGGCCACAGAGGCAACCCTGTTATAAGGAATCAAGTCCCAGCGATTGGCACCAATGTATACCTCAGGCAACTCTAACACCTTCCTCAGTGGCACCAGAACCTCCTTCCTCAAACGATCACGAACCCTGTAAGCATAATGCGCCTCCTCAACCCCCTCATACTCTTTATAAACCTCACGAGGGAACACCCTCCTCCCAATGCTCTCGCACAGCAACGTGGAACGATCAAAGGAAGAGTCCACAGAAGGGCACCATTTGGCAGCAAGACTGATTTTTCTCAACGACCCAGAATTCAAAAACTCGATATCTTTCTTCAAGCACTCGGCAAAGTGATCAGAGACGCGATCGTGGAGGAACCGAAAATCTGGGTCAATACCATAACGGTCAACGAGCTTCTTAGCCATGGCGATCCTCTTCTCTTCCCTCGCAGCATGTGCACTCTCCTTAACCGCCTTGGCCCTCACCATCTCCTCCATCACCCTCGTCTCTCTGGGCAACAACAAAGACTCATTCTTCTTCTTCTCGTTGTGCTTTCCCTTTGTTCTTCTTCCAAACCCTTGTTTTCTCTTCTCCCACTCTTCTTTCTGGGTTTTGCGAACTTCGTAATCTTCTAGAAGCCTGTAGAGGATTTCGGGGAGGTCCTTGAAGTAACCGAAATCTGCGAAGGAGGGAAGGTTGGCGGCGAGGGTTTTGGGGTGGTGGGCGTGGAGCCATAAGGCGGCGGCGTAGAAGCCTTCGCGGTCGGATTTTCCGGTGCCGCGGACGCCACGGAGGTTGGAGACGAGCTTGAGGGTGGTGAGGGAGTGGTGGGACCAGGCAAGTTCGAGCATGCGGAGGATGTTCTGTGAGGGAGTGTCGGGGACCACGTGGAAGAAGAAGTCAAGGCATGGGTTCCCTGAGGACAGGAACGTGGGAGACATGTTTTCTGTAAGGCCCATTTGAGGTTGTTGTAGTTGTTGTTGTTGTTGGACTGGGATGGAGTTGAATTTGGTTACCATAAGGTCCATGAAGGGGTTAGATATGGTGGCGGTGGTGGTGATAGCATTGGAGGTTGGCTTGGTGTTGTAGATTTCAGGTGGGCCTACAAGAGTGGCCATTTGGTGGTGTTGTGTTTTGTGTTTTGAAGTGAATGAGATGAATTCAGGTGTTTATAGTAAGTTATAGGGGTTGGGACAAAATTGGAGCAAAGCAAGAGACAGTGGATATGGTTGAATGACGATGATGTCTGGGTTGATTTGGGTGCAATTTATAGGAGACTATTTGCTTGGGGACCAAGATATACATTTCACTAGTGAATTTTAATATCAAATTCACTTTGGTGCAAATTCAATCCCCTAGACCTAGAGAATGTTTGTATGCGTCATTTTTTATGGAAAACAACTTTTTTTTATTAAAAATTGCTTTTAGAAAGTTTTTTAAGAATTAAATTAATTTTTAATGAAAATAAAATGTTTCTTTGGAAATTAAAAATATTAAAGTTTTAAAAAAATATTATTTACATGAAGGGTCGACTTTTCGCTTAGTTTTCTTTATTGACTCATGCTTGGTGGCCAAGTTTTAGTGGACTTTAGTTTTGTTGGAATCAGACAGGCTGAAACTGTAAAGTGTAACGTGGAACCGACTATTTTAGGAGATGTTTTAGGGGGTGTATAGGATTAGAATTTAAAACAAAAATTGAGATATGTTGTAAAATTAATAAGAACTATGGGAGAGATAGAGAAAAGTATTCTTATTGTATTGTCATACTACAATGATGCCTTATTTATAGGCTCGGGAAACATAAAGATTACAATAACTGAAAATATTCTCCATCGGTCATAATATCTTCAACAGCCATAACGTCTCCAATATTCATAACGGATATGGACAACCATAAATTAATTATAACACTCCCCCTTGGACGTCCAATAATCCAATTGAGAAGAAATATGTACGAGAAGTTGTCTCATTAAAAACATTACCAGGAAAACCCAATGGGACAAAACCATGGTGAAGAAAAAAAAGAGCGCAACACGTATTTCACTCCCCATGATGATAACATTATTTAATATCTTTGAGTTTACGCATCTCGATCTTGTAAACGAGCTTCTTAGAACTTGAAGTAGATAATGCCTTGGTAAATAAATCTGCCAAATTATCATTTGAACGAATTTGTTGAACTCCATGAAATAATTATACTTCCACTTGTGATCGAAATCTTGCTTGGGATCTGCCTTTGTGTGGCTCATTTAAATGACTTGAATTTATAATTATTCTAGTATCTTCGTGTTGGATAAGAGTATGATCCTGCTAATAAAACAATAAAGTAAAAATGTGAGGGTAAAAAGGGGATAATTCTCCTTTGGATGTTCACCCTTAATCATACGGTAATGGATTGCCTCATTAAAAACCTTCACAAGAAAAACCCAGTGGGATAAAAACTTGATGGAGGGAAAAAGAGTGCAATTATTATAACTCTCCCTTTGAATATCATCATAATATCTCCCCCTTAACTGAGCCACATAATTAATCTCTTTTATCACGCTATATACTATGCCCAATTGGCATTTCAAGATTAGGAATTTTATTTTTCACGGGATTGAAATAGATATTTTATTTATGTCTAGTGATCTCATAACCATTGGGGTACTCAATGGATTTCCTTTATCCATATACAATCTCTTTAAATTATAATTCAACTGATAAATATTTTATCAAGGCGATTATACCACATGCGCCTTTATTTCTTTAATCCATTTACTGATATTTGAAGCTTTATTCAACAAATTTCCCGAGAATTCTTATATGCTTCAAGAGTTTTAAATCCTTCTAGGATTTTATATAAATTTCATTATCGATCGAATAAGCCATATAAATAGGTTATAATAACATCCATTAGACGCATGTCAATTTTTCATATACTGCCAGATTATTAAAATATCTGAAGGTGATCTCATCCACCACAAGAGAATATATTTTCATATAATAGATGCCAGGATTTTGCAAAATTCTTGTGCTACAACAACTTCATTATAATTTCTGCACATTTGTACCCCACTGGCATTTACACCTTCGTGTTTGGACTACAGGTCCAGAAAACTTTAAATTTGAATTGCGTCTTTATATTTTGGCCAATCACCATCAACAAATCTTTAAGATCCTCGTCTTATTTCATCATTTCATTTTGTGCAAAAATATTGTCGACAATTACAGTTCCAAAAATGACATAACTAAGAGATCTCTTCATTTTCATTATTTTCAGGTACTTGAACCTCCCTTGAGGTTTGAACAAAGTTATGTCTTTATGTCTCCATATTGTGACCATCTTAATCATTTGCTCCTTTCCTCCCTTTTTAAGGATTTTTATCCTTGGAACCGATCATTTTTCTATGTACAATATAAATTGGAGCATGTACAGTTGGAATATTAGACTTATTGGTCAGTTAAATCATCTGGCAGTCGATGTATAATATATTTTTGCTCATATTTGCTTTGTGCGAGGATCTATGAGACAATGATAATGCATTATATATTTTCCAACTGTTTATTCTCTCCCCCTCATGTTGGAAAGACTGATAACAATAATCCACTAGATCTTCAGTCATTATTTCAAAATGTTATATAAGAAAATTCATATCCAACATATATTTCCAACTATATTTGGGATTCATCTTTGTGCGTTGTGGTGGAGTAATTAGAATATAACACTGTACATGGCAACCGCATGAATAAGCCAGTGTGAATTAATAAGCCAGAAATCTTTCCAAGCTGTAATTAGAATATTACTGTACCACGAAAGTGGTGGATTAATAAGCCAGTGTGAATGGATCATCGTGATTAATATAACAGTGTAATGAATTTTTGAGCAACAGTAAAAAAAAATTGATAAACAACAGTAAAAATGGATCATCGTGGTATGAATGGTGAATTTTTGATATAACAGTGTGAATGGCAAAAGGTTTATACCACGAAACAGCTTGATAAACAACAGTAAAAAAAAAATTGCTAATGATCTTCATGATTCACGAAACAATTATTGAGCATATAACACTGTACATTCAGAATATTACTGTACGCTAGCTAGAAATCCTAAAAAAAAATGCAAGATAGAATTGCACGGGAAATGATGATAAAGAAAGCATGTAAACACTGTACATGGAAATTCTCAATCGGACAAATAAATTTATGATGGATTCTATAATGCATATGATTATAAAATATCAAATAACAATAAATCAGAATTATAATTAAGTGTACCTTATTGGATAATCACAAAGTCAAAGAAAAACTAGTGGCAGCAGCACCTATGAAGCAGTAGTCTCATGCTGATAACGTGTTGTAAAATTAATAAGAACTATAGGAGAGAAGAGATAAGAGATAAGAGAGATAAGAGAAAGTATTCTTATTGTATTGTCATACTACTCTTCAACGGTCATAATATCTTCAACCGTCATAACATCTCGAACAGCCACAACGTCTCCAACAGTCATAACGGATATGGACAGCCATAAATTATTTATAACAAGATGAACATTTTTATTAATTTTAAAAGATTATATAGAATTGGAGGAACTTCAAAGATTTTTTTAAAAGATTTTTTTTACAATCAAGATTTCATATGATTGAATTTTAAAGAATTTTAATAGAATTTATAAGATTTTAAAAAACCATATGAATATTTAACGAACATTCAAAATTACAAGAGTCAATAAAACAAAATAACAAAAAAATACAATGATATTAATAAAAAAAATAAAACCTAATATAATTTTCTCAATCAGTAAAATTCATGATAAAAAATTTTTTGGAATTTTTTTGCAATTGAACTTGTAAACCTTGAGGCTTTTGTTCTACGTATCGAGAGTTTTCTAACCATGTATTATATTCATGTTTTCACTGAGTATTCCGAGAAAATTTTGAATCAGAATTTATGGATTTTATTACATGGAAATTTCTCAAATTATTTCAATATATACATTGAAACCTTAAATTATTTTGAGGCTTTTGAAAAACAAGTTTTCAGTGATCTATTAACACAAAAATTGTTTGAAATCGTTTCTTATCCTATAGCGAAGGAATTTCGTTCATGAACGTATTGTTATAAAACATAAGGTTCATACTATGAAAGTTTCAATCTTTTTTTAAATGGATCTTATTTCATTGATGGAAAACGAAAAATTGGTTTGGGATTTTTTGTTCCCATGTAATTTTTTCATTGTTTTATGTTGTTTTTAATACAAAAATCATACATTTTTGTGTCAAGAAAAATCACCACCAATTGTTTGAAAAATCATATTTCAAACTTCCAAAAACTCTCAAAAATCTGTTATTTTTTAGATTAATTAGATTAAAATCTTGTTGGGTTGTTTTGTGAAGAAATCGCTAAAAAATCTGTTATTTTTGAGCTTTGACAAAGCTCCCATGACGGAACCCGATGTGGAGGGGTCGACCCGCCAAAGGAAGAAGAAGACACTGCAATAAAGAAATCTCAAGAAATCCTAGGGGTTATGGTGAGATTGTGAGAGAGACATACTATTTATATTTTTCACTAGAAAGTCGCACAGAATCCATATCAATAGAAAATCCATTAAAATCATTATATTTGTGATAACCACAATTGATCGAATACCAACGGATTTGGACGGACTCTATAATAATCTTTTAAAATCCTAATCGAATATTACGTGACTTTTTTCCAATCCTTTAAAATTTAATTGAATACCAATGAATTTTTTTCCAAAATTGGGTTGTCGAGTTTAGTGGTAATCAAGCTTCAGGGTGGTGGGACAAGGCAAGTTCAAAATTATTGTTTTGAAAATTCTCTTGATTTTTTTTTGGGTACAACTTCTCTTGATTTTTAATTCCTTTGAGAATCAACTACCTTCCCATTTCAAAGTTTCTAGAAGAAACAAACATTAATTCATTGTTTTTCCAATTTAATTCACAAAAAACTTTTGCAGTTTGGTATACGGCCGGAAAGTTATGTAATTTTTTTCTGTAAGTTAAAAGGGTTAAGCCCAACACAAAAACTAAAAAATCCTAACAAGATAAGGTCTATAGCAGCTAAATATGCATGAAGCAATAAACCGATACCAGTACGGGGGTTTTCAAACCAACAGAAATTCTCTAATATATAATATCCTTAATTTCTTTTGGTAATTTGATTTTTCATAGATTTATTTATTTGAAGTAGAGAAAATTCATTCACTCCCTTGGA